TTTCTGCACGGCATTCCCGGAGTAGAAGCAGAAAGAGTTGAATCACACACTTGGGCATTTCTTGGTGTGAAGTGACACAATGTCTTGCTACAGTGACGTAGCTTAGAGCATGAATATTGCCATGCAGCAACAATAAAGGTCGTCTAACACAACCTAACTCCGATCTTGGAATTTCTTGTCCAGCAAACCCAGTGAGATGGGTCCAGAGCCTCGACTGACCTCCTAACAGCAGGGATCTTATGACCTCAGAAGCAGTGCAAGGCTGTCTAGGAAGTTTGTGTATGAGAAAATACTTTCTGACGTTGCAATGAAACATGCTTCCTTCTAGGTTCTCATCGCAAATTTGGATTTATGTAAGAACCCTATTATGTAGCAAATTTTAATTAAAAACTAATATTTATAGTGACGGGCTGATGGCAGCGGCAGATCTGTAGATTTACCATTCATGTAGCCTAAATTTACATATTGCCTTTGGTCAGAGTACTGCTTGTAGCAATTGAATCCTTGGGATTTTACTCACTCGTGCTAAGCCTGTCTTAGTAGTGTGGTGTGAATTTGGGGTTAAGATGTATGTTTGGGTCTCTCGGACCTAAACCGTCACAATTCCTTACCTTACCTCACCACCCAGTGCAATGGCTTTTCCTTTGATTTTCACCGCCCCTGAATTCCATTATAACATCAAAGATGCTTCAGCCTGGCCGTTCCCTGGAGGCCTCCCCACAGGGGCAGAGACCCCTACACAGAGGCAGCATGAGCCCAGCAGCACTTCCCGGGTGCTCCCCTGAGCTGGGAGCTACTCCGTGTCTGGCCCACAGTGCACGCTTAGGGCTGGTCTTCCCTGCAGGAAACTTGTAACTGAGCTCGGGGAGCCCCGGGGGATCTGGACCAGGTGCATGTTGGTCACCACTTACAGCTGGGAGGCATTCCAGAAACTTCAGCTCCCTTAGACCTTACATGGGTGCACTGATAGGTCCTTTCTTCAAGGTCAACGTGAAGATGAATGGAAGCAGTGCTTCTAAAAGATACAGTCGAGAATGATTAGTACCCACTTCCTTTCCCTTTGAGTAGAATTAGTGGAACAGGGATAATCTATCTACAGTTTTTAACATTAGGTAACCCACATGTTCCTCTTCTGCTCCCTGGTAGAAGTTTCGTCTGGGACATTCCCTCGATTTGCCAAGCTCGTCGAAACAAAATAGCAAGGATTCTTGGTTTAACAAATGATAATGTCAGAAGCTTCTGACACAGGACTCTGTGATATGTGTGTGTTGCCAAACATTACTGTTCCAAGTTATGTACGAGTTAGAAAGAGAGGATTTAAAAAAAAAAAATTATCTGAGTAGTCAGTGTATTCTTTTGAGTCATAAAAGAGGCTCTGTGAAACACATTGAGTTCTGAGATTTTAGTACTGGGAATTGTGGGACCATTATATGTTAGGTGACAAGTAGGAAACAGTCAGATGAAACACTTGCACAAATTCATCTCTGGTGGTTCTCAGCCACTGTGTTGAGATGATGGGAGGAGTTCAGTGGAGTACGGCTTCCCCGGGGGCGTTGGTCACCCATAACCCACCATCATCGGGAGCTCTTTCCAAGTGTTAGAAACATCTGGAAATACCATGATAATATTGCACATGCGGTCATTAACCTTGCATTCTGCTTAATTTATCACAAAAAAATCACCAAGAAGTGAGAACCACAATCTATTCCTTTCATCTATTTTATCTGTAGAAGAACAGGAAAACATATTTTATAGTGTAAAATTGTCTGTACTGCCAATAACATTTGTTACAATTTCTCAAAATGTTCCTTGATTTGAATTAGTTACTTATTTGATTAAGAGCTTCATTAATGATAGAGCACACTGACTAAAACTGCCCATATGTACGAGATACAGTATTTCCGGGAAACCTACTCTCCATGTTCCCTGCAGTGGGAGTGTAGAAACCATACCCCACACTGTATCTTATTTGATTCTCATAAAACCATTGTGAACTAGAAGTGGAGAATGTTTTTAGTCAATTTTTAATCTACTTAAACTCCATTTTACAGATAAGAAAATAAAGACTTAAAATGTCATCAATAAGGGTCAAATCAGATCTAACTCCAAGTCTCCAAATTCCTGGTTGTAATATTTTCTGGGCATATTTTTCAAGTATTTCCCTGTCCTTGTGTGTGGTTTCATTAATAAATAATGTCAAAAGGAAAGTGAGTACTTTCAATCTCCAAAAAACAAACTTTCAATTTTTTTTTTTCTGATACTAACCTTTCCATTTTAGGATGAAATTTTGCAGATAGCGAAGAACCATACTTCTAGTGATCACTTTAAACACTATTGAGTAGTGGGAGAAAGTTTAAATTTACATGGAAGACCAATATTGAGTTCTATTTGGTGGGGGGGGGGGGCATTTTCAGGCCAACAAGTTTTCTGGCCACAGAGGAAAATGCAGCCAATTTTCAGACATCGTTCCTCCATCAGGCAAACTACCCTCTGAAAGTCTTGATTGTGCGTGGGTTTCTCCTGGACCATTGCATACTTAACAATCCTGCCTGCAACCACTAGGGTTAATGTCACATGGTTTCCTCCATCCGGAATGTAACGGAAGCCACAATGGCAGTTCTCGTGGCTGCATGCCACGGGTCTTAGCTGCTGGAAATTCTCTACCATAAGGACACAAGACATGGGGGATGGGGATGCTGAACTGTTTGAAATGGCCAATCAGTTAAGGGCTTCTTAATTGAGGACTTTTTATTATTGTAAAAGAAACTGGTATTTTGCCCGTGTGACTCTGTGATGTTCACAGGAGCCCCTTGTCCTTGGCAAGGGGTTTGGTGATGTCTCTTGCTGGGATACTGACCGAGGCAATGGGCCGCAAGTAAGTGGGAAAGAAAAGATGGCGTCAGGGAGTCGGGAAGACTCCTGTGGGAAGCAGGAGAATTGAGAGAGGTTGTGATTTCCTATCTTTAAGACTTTTGAGTCACTAAAATTTGGTAAATTTTAGGCAGAATGACCACCATGACCCAGGTTCTCATTGCTATTGCTGCCCTTGACCTTTTCCTTTGGTTCCACTGCCCATCCCCCAACTCATAATCCAACTTCTAACCCCTAGAAGCACGTTAGCCTCAGAGCGCCTGCTTTGAGATGCTGGCCGCCTCCAGACCGTATTTGTCACCTTCCCCGGCAGGTCCGAGAGGCCGTGTCCCTCCTGCAGTGCAAGGTACACCCTCCACTGTACCCCTCTTCCCTCCTCATGACTTTCTGCTCCTCGGAAACCCCACAGCTCCCTTCCTGTCAGCCTTTTATCCCGGCTCCGTGTGCTTCACACTCAGCACCTGACTGTTCCAAAGACCCTCCTGGTCCCCACCCCAGGGGCTAGCTTCGTCACTTGTAGGCTTGGGAGCTGGGACTGAGGGAGGAGACATCCACCTGCTCCACACCAACCCCATCCGTGTCCTCCCCACAACACCACGCATTTCCTTATTTCTGTTGTCTCTCTTCTGTCCCCATCCAACGGTCCTAAAAAACTGTTAGCCTTTTGTTTTGATGACTCTGGCTTATTGTGATGTTCCTCCTCCCTTCCTGAACATTCAGTTCTTTCTTCAGCCTTAGAACCTGAGCGTCTGTTTTGGGGTGAGCTCACCCGGTCACATGGGTTTAGTCATCTGCATGTTGATGACTTCCAGATCTTGTTTTCTAGGGTTTTCTGAATTTCAGGTCCTTCCAGCCAATTATTTTTTGGAATTCTACTTGAACTCCTCGAGTAGTTCAAAGTCAACATGGCTAATACAAAGAGAAGATTTCTCTCTCAACCACACACCCCTCCTTCTGGAAAGGCTGTGGCTGAATGAGCCCACTCTGCAGTCTGTTTCCCGAGATGTCATTTTGAAAAGCATCATCGATCCTCTTCCTTCTCCTTCGTCTCCATCCAGTCTGTCCCCTCATCCTGCCAGGTCTGCCTCCATGACACCCTATCCCTCTTCTTTTCTTAACCACTGCTGGCCTCACTGGCTCCCTCAGCCCTTAGTAGCCCTGCCCGTTCCAGGTAATCTTTCATTGGCCTCTCAGAATACTCTTTTTTCACACCAGTCTGATCCTGCCCTTTCTTTTTTTCAAGACCCTTGGGATTACCCGTCATTTCTAAGACATAACGGAAGCTCTTTTGCAAGAGAAACGAAACTCTGACTACATCTCCAGCCTCATCAAGCTTGGCTTCTCTCACTGTAGGCTCCAGTTTTGCTGAAATACCGGTGTCCCTGTGTACATCATGCGTGGTCAAGGTCGTGTGTCCTTGTGTATGTTGCTGAGTCCTCTGGGGCACCCTTACGTCCTGGATTTGCTTGGAAAATTCTTATTCAAGTGTCTACTCTTGGAAGGGAAGCCTTGTGCTGTCTCACAGGTTTTTCTCATCACCCACTCTGGGTTTGGTCCCCTCCCTGAGTATCAACAAACTCCTCTCGTCCATCTCTGTTCTCTGACTTCCCTGCTCTACATTCCTGCGATGAGCCTTTGTCTTTATAACCTCAGCTGCTAATACTCTATGTTTGGGAAGTGATTCCCATGTGATTGTTGCACGAGAGGAATAAATCAACAGATTAATCAACCATCGCATAATAAAGGGATATGGACAAGAAGAAATAATAAATTACTCTAAACTACAAATCTTTAATAAAAGTATTAATTACAAAGCATAGGACAGGGCCCAGCAGATTCCTACATGAACTACATAAAACTTCTGTGACCTTCTCCTTTAGGTAGGAAGGGTACAGCTCAGGTGAGAACCAAGTGAAACAGGGTCATTAGGTTCTGGTACAACAAGAACTTTATTTTTTCCTTCCTGAAACATCATATGCTATTATGTATCAAAGCCTTGTAAACACAGGGTACGCAGTGTCCAGGTGATTGCTATTATTCCAGAGACCAAAGATGGCGGAAGTGATTTTCAACCGCCAGAGCTTGACCACAAGCCAAGCCATAAGGCTGTCTGCTTTCTGTCCCTACAGGTATTTGAACCAGACCCGACCAGAAGATGTCTCAACAGCAGAACTTTCTCTGAACAGGGAGAAATTCGCTCTTTTGAAACAAGCCCTGCATGTCATTGGCTTCAGTCACTTGGTGAGTCACACTGTAAATATTCCACTGAGAAAACCAACCTTCTACTAACGTACAGAAGTTATTCATTCAACAGCATTGACCGAGTCCCTATCATATTTCGGATATGGTTGGGAATACTCGTGATTTGGCCAAGAATAAGCCTCACAGTGTCTGCCTCCTAGAGTTTTCGTTCCCGTGGGAGAAGTCGACAACACGGTGCCCAGGGGCGTGGGTCCCATGAGGACAAACAGTGACCAGAGGAGGGGCATCTCTGTTCAAGGGGGCGATCCAGGAGACCTTTTCCCCAAATGAACCGTGTGAGCAAAGAGGTGAAAAACCGTGCAGTGACCAACTCCAGAGAAAACTGGCGAATCTAAGGGAATGGTTGGCGGCCAAGAATCGCTTTGAAAAGGAAACTGATGACTTATTACAGTATCTTTCTGTGCAACATAACATGTGCTTTTTACTCTTAAAGAATTACCAAATACCAACAGGCATCGTGAGGTAGAAAAATACGATTTAAAATGTTTAAACCACTCCTCTGCAGTAGAAGTTTCTGTAATCATGGGAATGTTCTGGATCTGGGTAGGTCCACGCTAGACCAGGCACTTAAAATGTGGCAAGTGCAAATATGGGCGTGGATTTTTAATTTTTCTTAGTTTTAATTAATTTAAATTTAGGTAGCCTCATGAGGTCAGTGGTTAATGAATCAACATAGGTTTAGTGGGCCTGAGATCTGAAATGAGCTGAGCGCAGAGACCCCTTACCACCCCTCAGATTTCTCTTCCCCTCACACAGTGGCTTTTCCCGGTACCTTTGGAATGCCAGTAGCTTAGCAACCCAGAGGTAGCCATAGATTTATAGATCTTCTTTTTCTTATAGTCAGTTGGTGGATTTGGGTCTTTGTTTTTATTTTTTATTTTTCCCTAGCCCACATAGATACCACTCATGGGGCAGCAAGGTGTGGAAAGGCTGGGTAGATCGGGACTCACCCTAAATGAAACAGCTCTGGGCACGTCCCCTCACCCCATTCGGAGATGGGAGTTCTAGGGCCATACAATCACATGGTATCTTATTTTTTCTTTCTCTCTCTCTAATGATCCGATCTCTACATTTCTGTCTTTTAGTGACTCCTGCCCATTTGCACTTTTCTGTCCTTGCATTTGCAACTGTTGTACTTTTTTGTTATTTTTCCCCCTTCTTCTGTGCCTAAAATTTCTGCTTCCTTCTAGGAAACTGGGATATAGAGATGGGTAAGGAATCATTCTACCAAAGTACCCGTTGCCTGGAAACAGGGCTTTAAAAATCCATGATTGATTCTCAAAGGCAGGGCCACCAAAATATGCTTTCCCGCAAGATAGCTAATAAGAGAATCGAACAACCCTTCTGGTAAAAGAAATACGTGCATTTTAACAAAAGACATGAAGGTAGTCCTTTCGCTGTGATGCTTGAGGTTGATGGCTATGGGGACATTTCAGTGCACTTAGGAGGGATGGCTCCTGTCCAGGAAGACTAGAAGGAAGGCATTTCTGGGCTGGGGAGGCCCTCGAAGAAGACTTGCTCATCAAGGAGCTTCCACCTGTGTCCAGTGGGACGGCGGCGACCATTACTCGGGTCTCCACGGACACAGGGCGGCAGCCCTCGTCTCACAGGGCACAATATTCAGCACACTGTGATTCATACATAGTGTGGCTGGTGGTCTTCCTCTATCTCCACAGCTAAGCTCTCAGATCCTTGAGGTCCCAACAAAGCCTTCTTCGTGACCTTGTCCCTAGAATGCCTGCGTCACGGAGCACTGGAAACATCTACTGAGGAGTGACTGTATTTATTACAAAGGGGGGAGAGCAGTTGTCAGGGAGCGTGAGGAGGAAACGGTTATTCAAAGCAGCATAACTGACTAAAATTTGAAACCATAACCTGAGATTGGTGGGGTACCAAAACCGTTTGTAAGCAATGCCACAGTCCTAGAGTATTAGACCTAAACATTACTTAGAGACTGTCCTTGTCAGCATTCTCATTTTGAAGATAATAGAATTATACTTTGTGGTGAAAACTAGAAGTTCTAGAGGGGAGTCAGAGCTACATCACCCCACTTATGTATTTACAAAGCAAGTGCGAGTTGCTCTTAGTAGGTTGTCACAGGCAGCAGCTTTTTATTTCAAAAATTAAAGGTTAGGGAAATGAGAATTTAAAAGATTATGTCACTTGCCCAGCGTGGAACTGAACCGGTGTCACTCTCAACGTCATGATACTAAAAGATTGTTCTAGAGAAGTGTTTCTTGGTTCCAGCTTTTTCTTGATTTTTCATTGTCGCCACAAAATGACTGTCCATAATCCAAATTTAAGGTCTGATTTCTTTCTTTATGCAGAGTTCCAGATTCTCAGATCTCCTCCTGCAGCAGACAGTGTCTTATTTCCTTCTCCCTTCTGCTCAAAGATAGCTCTTGCCAACACCCATTTCTTTCTCTTTTCCTTAAAATACCTTAAAAAACAATTAGCATTTTTTAATCTAGGCATAGATGTTTGTATCGTGCCTTCCTAAATGTTCTGGCAGAAGTGAGAAGTCCTATAATCACACCATCAGTTTAGCTCAGATGGAACAGCACAGGGAGATGGACATCAGCGCCCTGAGGCCTCTCGGGTCGCAGCCTCAGCGTGGGGCCCCGCACCAGCCCCAGGAAGACACGTGCGACCCATCAGGGCGCAGTGATTCAGTCTCAGGACGAGATTTATCTAGAAACTGTCCGTTTATGTCAGCGAGTCACTTCCTCTCCCTCTTTTAAGGAGCAGAGACATTGATTAGAGGAAATGTGCACTCGTGTGATTTTGTTTTCCAGCTAGAGATGGGCCGTCCTCTGACCAGACACTCCAGATCTGAAAAGTCACAGCCCCACCAACAGGGCCTGCATCAATTTTTTTAAAGCTATTAGGTTTTTAAAGGATTTGTCTTTTCATCTTTCGTCTAAGCAATTCTGCTTGTTTTCTGTCTTTGTAAAACGCGTAGGAGGTAGAGAATCTGTTTGTGATTCTGGCTGCAATATTACACATTGGAGACATTCGATTCACGGCTCTGACCGAGGCCAACTCTGCATTTGTCTCTGACCTCCAGCTTCTGGAACAAGGTCAGTGGAACAGAGCTCCCATTAACCTCGCGGGTGTGCAGCTTGGCAGACCTGCCGGTAGATGGAGACAGAGTACAGAAAAGCCCTGGGGAAGGAGCCCTTTCTGCAGAGTAGAATTCAGAAGGGTAAAAAATATATTAATAATAACAAAAATATAATGAAAGAGCTGTATCCACTTTGTTCTTCTCTCTTACAAATGGCTTGGGAGATGAATCGCAGTGCGTACGTGATGTTCTCGTGCTTCCCACACTGACCGAGTCGGTTCTTAGACGCGTACTTGGGTTTATTTATGTTGTGCCGGATGCCCTTGGCCCACCCTGCCCCCCGTGTGTTGGGGGGCTGAGCTATTAGCCCAACAGTTTAAACAATATAATTACTTCCTTTCAAAGGTCTTGCCAAGAGCCTCTCTCTCCCCTTTGAAGTTGCCTTGTTAGTCACTCCCAGATTTTTTCAAAATACCGTCAAGCCACAGATTGTCAACGAGCATGCCATCTTCACCTCCTATCCAAGCAGTTCAGCGGGGGGCTGGGAGGAACCCAGGGCTGTCTGCGAGGGCAAGGAGGGAAGCGACGTGCAGATTTCAGGCAGGAGCCCATGAGCTCGTTAGCGCTGTCCCTCCCAGAAGCGGTGTCTCCAGTTCACTTTGATAATTAGAGCGCTCGTTCGGAGTCCTCTAATCTACACAGTTCCTGATGGGTCTGTGCCATAAACTTGCAAGTAACAACCATAATGTGTAGTGCCCTCGCCATCCAAACATACATACTGACCTGTGCTTTCAATGCTGCTTACCTTTAGTGGCTGGATTGTTGCAAGTTTCAACCGATGAATTGCTGTCTGCTCTAACCACCGACATCCAGTATTTGAAAGGTAAGTGTTACTCTGCTCTGATGTTGACCTTTGGGCAGTTTGTGGTCTTCTCTGAGATACGGAGAGCAAACGCAACCTTCCTTTCCCCATCCCGTGGCACTGTTTCTGTGAGCTGAATGCCGAGCGAGAGAAGCATCCTGAGCCCGTCGGGTCACTTGCTGGGACTCTGTGTTGGAACCCTCGGAGGTCTTGAGAGACCGTGTTGATGAACTCGTCGCCTTCTCTCGCTCATCTGTCATTTGAGGCCAATCAGGCCTTCAGTCCGAGAGGATGTACTCAGTTAAGTAATTGGAACCATTTGTGTGTGCCTGTGCCCCCATCAGCGAGGTGCGTCCTCTCTCCTCTAGGGTGTGATTTGGAAGAGGAGCTGCCATTTCTTGGTCACTCTCGAGAGGACAGGCACTGTGCCAAGTGCGAGAAACGCTGGAATTTTAACATTCTTACAGATCGCTAGGAAGTGGGCATCACGTTTTCTTTTTAACAGATGAGAGGATGAAGACTCCAAGAGACTAACTTTGCCCATCAGGCCACTAGCAGGGGTGTGTTTGGAACTAGAATCTCGTGCTGTCCGCCTCCCGCCATGACTCTCCACACGCCACGCGCATCTGTCTCCCTGCAGTGGACATGGAGAGTGGTTTTCCCACTCGGTCTCCTCGGCGGAAACCGTCTCTGGATGAGATACTGACCGAAACCACTGCCCTACCAACCTCCTTCTTAGTGAAAGTTCGAGAACTCAGCCTCTCTCTGATCTGTTTTCTCGAAATCACCACTGTCCGACCTGCTGCTTCTCTTCCCTACCTGCAGACGCTTAGGGACGTGGCTGGTCATTCCTGCCCCCAGCTCCAGAAGGTTCCCCTCCATGTTCCAGAACGTTACGAGTCTCCCCATCATCCAGGCGGTTGTGCAAAAGTCATTTTGATGCCGCTGCCTTCTCCTCCTCCGCGCGTAGACCAGACACACGTCAGCTCTCCTCCCCGGCTCTCTCTGAGTCTCACTGCCTTCTCTTCATTTCGCCGCCACTGTCTTAAGGCGTCCTTCCTTCCCTCCATCACGGAATGACCTCCTCTTGAATCTTTTATCTGGCCTCATCTCGTACTGTCTCCCTTCTCCACTGCTTCGGGAATAGTCTTTCTGAATCACATTCTGCAAATGTGACTTTCATCTGTGGACCACAGCCTTTTAAAGATGCTCCCACCTCTTTCCGAATAAACCTCACCTTTAGGGTGGCCCTGTACGCCCTTCACGTTCAGGCCAACCTCACTCTTATGCCTTATTCTGAACCATTTTCCCACCAGCCCTCACATCTAATTATTTCATTTCTTGAAAATGGATTTTGGATTTCTCCAAAATCATCATGTCTTATGACTTTTTAAAGAAAAACTTGAACACACCATTAATATCTAGAATTTCCTATATGCCCATTTTTCTGCTTACACTGTCCTCGTGTCCTTACTCACCCGCCATGTTGGCGACCCAACACCCTCAGTCGTGGGGACTCTGGAGACCTTAATTCTATAATGTCATAAATGGCACACCTATGTTCATGGTCACCTTGTCTGTTGGTCTCCATGGCCTTGAACTTGTAGGTCTCTGAGTCTTCCTTATCTGCTGATTTTTTTTTTTTTTTAATCTGCCTATCTCAGAAGGAGCTCTCCTGCACTGGCCGGCACTCACGCAACCGTTACTTCACACGGTCATTGTCAACTACTTAACCCCTGCTTGGCCGCGTGGCCCAGGTTCCCCGGCTGGCCACGTGACACAGTATGAGTGCTAGACTCCCCCCTCCTCTCCGTCTCTAGCAACAGAACGATCACAGGCTCAGCTCTAAGTCGTCCACACTTGTTTTCCCCCTCCCCTGGTTTCTTCTCTCGTCTTTTGTAAAAACCTTATCACTCAAAATTTTAGTCACCATCTCTTAGAGAATGACGTAAACATTTCTACCTGAAGGTCTCAACCTGTTCCAAACTCCACACTCCTGTTTGGGTTAGCTAGACCATGTCTCTGAAAATATTTAAAATACGACTAATTTTCTAGGTGGGCAGGTTTCGGAGGGCCTTGGGGACAATTCATATTCAAACCAGTGAGCGGCTACGGGAAAGCTGGATAAGAGGGCACCCCCGCCCACAGCTGATTCCCTAACGGAGAAGAAATTACACAGCTTGCCTCGAGATCCAAAGCTGGGCTCAGTGTCGGGAGCAAGTAGGACTCCAGCATATGTGGCCGTCACTTTGGGAAACATTTTAAGGAACAACTGGCAGAGACCTCATTTCTCAGCCTTGTTGCATCACTGTGACATCTTCTGGTGTAGGGGGGTGGGTAAGGGATAGAATGGCTATGCGCGGTCTTGTCTGCTTCTAGGTGACGGGAGCCATGACCTCCCTTCTCTCCTTTCTGTGGCTGCAGGGGACACCATCATACGGCGACATACTGTGGAGATGGCTGAATTTTACCGGGATCTCTTGGCCAAGTCCCTGTTCGGTCGTCTGTTTAGCTTCTTGGTGAATACCATGAACAGTTGCCTCCACAGTCAAGATGAGCACAGCAGGTAGGATTGGGGGACACTGGTCGTCTGCGTTACTCCTGTGGGAGCCAACTTAAAGGGCTCCCCTCCTGCAATTACGCTGTTGTGAAAACATCTCATTTTAACGAGTGATTTTACCGAACGGGTTTGATTGACTTTTTCGTAGGGATTTAACCCCCTTCCCCCATGCCAACACGCTGATGAATTAATCAAATCCTATCACGTGCTTTCTCTCTGGACTGCAGGTGTGTGTGGCTTCTGAGCACCAAGGAATGTAAAAAAATATATATAAATCTGGGAAGAAGACTGTTTAAGAACAGCTAAAGTATGTAATGTTCGTTGAGGAGTCCATGCCTCTCTTAGGACCAACTGGGTGATGTGTTTCTGGTTAGGATGTCTTCCTCTCTCCTTCCCTTACTTGTAGATTATTGGATGAAAGGTCTCTGTGGTTATCATTTAGATTCATAGCCTTCATCACCTTTAAAGCAGTAGCTTTTCAGGATTATTTGAACATCTAAAAATTACAGACCTCCATGGCATCTCGTCAATGGAAAACTGTGGATATTCTTGTCACTGATAATGACCTTGAGAGGGTCGCTGAAAACAGAAGCGCATCCAGAAGTCTTCACACGTAGGCTTGTCTTTGAATGAAACCTTTTGAGAATTTCTTTGGTGTCCACATAGAGTTCTTCACTAAATTCTTAAAACTCGCTGCCTTTGGAAGTTTCTTGGAAAACATTAGAAGTAACATGTATTAATGGACAGTTCTTAAAGAAATGTGGACATCTCAAAAGACATCAAGGACAAAGGGATAGTGAAGGCCTCACTGGAATGTGCACATAGGAATTGCACAGCAGGTGGATGAGTCACAGTGCGGCCTAGGGCTTGGGATCTGGGTGTGGTATTATCGAAATTTTAGCAGCTGTGCCTTAGCGTTTGGTCTGGTGAGGATTCTTGGATTTAGAACTGTTTATTGTCTGTGAATTTGTCATTTTCCTATAAATATGAAGATAACGCGCAGAATGATATTAATATGCTAAGTCTTGCAAATTAATCTTGTGTAAAATTATTGGCTGTGCTGCTGAAATTGACATTGAAAAAAATTAATGTTATAAATCCAGCTGCGCATAGAAACTTCTAGAAAATTTCCATTTGACACATTTCTTTTTAAAGATTGATTGATTTTAGAGACACAGAGAAAGACACAGAGAGAGAGAGAGAGAGAGAGAGAGAGCAGGAGTAGGGGGAAGGGCCAGGGGGAGAGAGAGAATTTTAAGCAGACTCCATGCTGAGCACAGGGCCCAGAGCTGGGTGTGCCTGATCTCATGAGCCTGAGATAATGACCTGAGTTGAAATCAAGAGTCAGATGCTCAACTGACTGAGTCACCCAGACACCCCTCCATTTGGCACTTAAATTTTGCAGAACCCTAAATTACATACATACATAATACATAGCCTCGATGTTTGACTACACACACAGAGAAAAATATACAAATACAATCCTTGGAAAGCATAGTATTTCCCTCTCAGTGGGAATATTGCCACTGTGTCAATATGTAAATTGATGGTGTTAGTGCTGTCTTTTAAAAAAATTCTTTACCAAGCAAATGAATGAGGACAGAGATTAGCGGGAAATTGGCAATGTTTTAATGTATTAGAAGTTTAACTTAGAATACACACTATTCTTAGATGAGTCATAATTCCCATGTTTTTCTCTCGTTTCTCCCCGGGGTCACCCAAACCTAAATTTAAGTCTCAAAATACTGCAAAGAAAGGTTATGTTTGTAGTATTTCTAACTCATTGAAATTCATGGAAAGCTGAAGGATTTGTAGATTTACAGACCCATTTCTTAAGTCTGAGAGGTCTCAAAATTTGGATAAACTTAGGCTTTGGTTGTTTATGAATCCTTCATGTTTTTGAAATGAGTAATTGTGTCGAAACTGTTATATTAAAAATGTGCATCCCCAGGGTTCAAGTTGGCGAGCACTCTGGATGTTGATGGGGAGTATTTTTCACACTAGATTTGTTTTTTTGTTTGTTTGTTTTTGGTAAAATTTGCAAGAGAGAATAACTGTAAATAAGATGTACTCTAACAAGTTATTAAAAGAAAACAAGTGAAATTGAATCAGATGAAATATTTCTTCTTGGAAATCCGGACTCATTTCCTGGATTACGGTGAAATAGGTACAAAATCAGTAACGTTATACATTTTGAAAGATGTTACTTTCTCTACCTAGATTCTAAATAGGGTCGCTTCTAAGTTAAAATCCTGAGGTATAATGTGGGAGATGGTGAGGAGTAATTAATTATGATGAACCAGTGCATTGGCAGTATTTGCTTGGCCAGAATCAAGCCAGTAAGATTGCCGCGCGGATGTCCCCAGCCTGTCGCCTGCTGTGGGCTTAATGCCTGTCCAGGCTGCACACACTGGCTGAGACAGTGAGAGCTTGCTGGGACAGCTCTCATTCAGGGGACACACTTTGTGGTCAGGACACTCCAGAAATCAAAACACGCCAGAACTTTACTTATTAGGCTCAGTTGACAATGATTTGATCCAAGTAGGCAAAAAGGAATATTAATGAAAATAGCAACAGAACCAACACATACAATGTGTTGTATAGACAATGTGTTGTATCATGTGCACTACTATATATAATGTATTATATGTAACATATATTACTGTATCATATATCATAGCCCTATACATACTATACTATACTGTACTATAATATACATACATGTTCTATATAATATATAGAATATCATGATACAGAGTATCCTAATATATAACATAATAATGGGATAATATATAACATGTAATATATACATATTATATGTATTATAGACATATACAATAATATATAATATACAATATAATTATGCACATATATAGTAATAGAAATTATTAATTATATACATGTACGTCTATAATAATGTACATGTAATATATATTATACACACCATATAATAACGTATATGATACATATAATACTTTGACGCCTTGATTTGTTTAAAACTTTAGTGTTCACACTAAAAAGTGCGTGCATATAATCTAGCTTCAGAAGAAATCCTGTTAACCAGCCAAGAACGACACAGGTATTGTGGGAGCAATGGTAGCCCTGGGAGATTGTGGCGCGCGGATGTCCTGCTTCTTTATTCCCTTCCTGATGAATCTCCTTTTGAGAATCCCACACGAATCAGAGCTGTGGCTTGTGAACCACTTTCTGGGACATTTCTTTCTCTGAACTATCACTTCGGCCTCTGAAGTGAAGGGTACACAGGGCTAATTCGGAGTTCCATGATACCAGCTCGCTCCTCCTCCCAGCCCGGTCGTGACCTGGGACACTGCGACCGCGGCCCAGGCCTTCGTGGCTCCTCCGGCACGTCTGGCCAGCACCTGCTCACGGGCTCGCTGCCGCTTCCAGTCCTCGCACGTCCATGTGCGCGCCATGCGTTCACGGCATTATCCATCCCTGCACATTCTCGTGTCTGACTCTTAAAAGTGGAGAAATAATTCAGTGGAGTATGGCGCGAGGAGCCAGGACACGGGTTCTGTGGGTTCTGGGAGGGAGACAGCAGAGCCGAGAGGTGCTCCCGAGTGGGGCAAGCGCTTCTGACCTCTGCAGTCACGCAGGCTGGCTAGCCCGTGGGCCCTGTCAGCATTCGGGGGGTGGCGCCCCCGGCAGGAGAGCTCCCGGCCTCCCACCAGGGCCGCCTCCTGCACACGCCAATGGGGAAGGACCTCCTGCAGGGGTGGGAGAGTTACAACCCACGGAGCTTCGAAACCCCAGGACCAGGGCAATAGATCTCCACTTAACAAGAAGGGAGCGCTAATTTAAGAGTTCATTGGCTTGAGGGGTGCCTTGGAGGGCTCAGTTGGTTGAGCAACTGCCTTCGGTTCAGGTCATGATCCAAGGATGAAGCCCCGCATCAGGCTCCTTGCTCAGCCTCTCCCTCTGCTGCTCCCCCTGCTTGTGCTCTCTCCTCTCTCTCTGTGGAATAAATAAATAAAATCTTAAAGAGAAAAAAAAGAGGGTTGATTGGCTTGTAAGAGCCAAAGCCTATCTGATGCAAGAAAGCAGGTAGGCCCTAGAACTCCTGTGCTACATGGTTTGGGTCTTTTTTGTCCATTATTTTTGAAAAGATACAGATGAACCCACCTGTCTTAGGGTGTGGCAGTCCTCCCATTTGACCGTTCTCAAGATGTGGTCACTAGACATGCAGGAGACCCCTGTGGTCTGGGAGTCCTTGGCCTCAACTCCCCTCTACATTGTCACTGACACCCCATGACCAGTGTCGGCGTAGAGATCCCATGTTTGAACCACACGGAGGTCCATGTGTAGATTCTTGTAAACTCGCACGCAGGAAATTGGCAACTGTGAAGCCCATGGAGGACGCTGCCTTAATTCCATTCTTCCCTGCCCATCCAAAGCTGGGTGGGAGCTCCCTTCCCAGAGATACAGCCCTTCTTCTCCCCGAGGAGAAGTCTTCCGTCAGACGCTTCATTAATCACAGTCACACCAAATCCTCCTGCTTACTCTTCTCAGGAGGCCTTGAGATGGTTCCCAGTGTCCCTTTCCCCCAGGGAGTTAGCTTCCCTGGTCAGGAAACCGCAGTACCCTACAGTTTCCGGATCCACCTGCTTCCTGAGCCCGCGACCCCGTGAGAGCAGCTGTGATGTGCGAACGCTTAGGGACGGTCCCCTCCCGTGCTTCCGTCTGTGCGTCTTCCTGTAGCTCTACGTAGGTTCCTTTCCAGGTCCACCCACTGTGTTCCAGAACATCACCTCAAGCATCCCCCCACCTGTGGGACATAGAAAGGAATCTGGATAAAGTTCCTCCATACCTCCTACCCCCATGAATTATTTTGCCTCATCATTGTAGAAAGCCTTCTCTGGTTCGTGATACGGGTTGGCTGTTTCTAGTGGAACATTCCAAAAGGAAAGGCTTGCTCTTAAGTAGCTCCTGTTCCTCTACTTAATAAAATCACAAACCTTTTGAAAAAGTTAGTAGGGAGACACATT